ACAAACATAACATACACACACACAACACCGACAACACGCAAAAAGCACGCACCACACAAAGCACACATCACACACACAACACTCACAATCCTGGGGCCTCCTGGAGCCTCTCCTGGTATCCAAGTCGGGCCTCCTGAGGCTTCCTGGGGGCCCTGGTACACACATCGCAAGGTGTGGCAAACCCACTTGCGCTCGAGTGCGACTTCGCTGTTGCATGTCACTCCTGCTTCAAACGCCCCTTCACCTTGTTGTATGAGCCTGGGCACACACGTGCCACTTGATACAACAAGTTGAAGGGGCGTTTGGAAGCAGGATACATGCAACAGCGAAGTCGCACTCGAGCGCAAGTGGGTTGCACACCTTGCGATGTGTTACCCAGGCCCCCCAGGAAGCCTTAGGAGGCCCGACTTGGATACCAGAAGAGGCTCCAGGAGGCCCCAGGATTGTGAGTGTTGTGCGTGTGTGTGTGTGTGTGTGTGATGTATGCTTCGTGTGGTGCGTGCTTTTTGTGTGTTGTAGGTGTTGTGTGTGTGTGTGTGTTATGTTTGTCTAGCGTGTGATGTGTTGGGCGTGATTTGTGTCTCTGTGTGCATGTAGTTCTGACGCCCCAGGAGGCCCCAGGAGGCCCCAGGCGGCCTCAGGAGGCCCCAGGAGACCCCAGGATGCTTCAGGAGGCCCCAAGGGGCCCCAGGAGGCCCCAGGAGGTTTCAGGACACCCCCAGGAGGCTCCCAGGCGGGGTCTGGGGTGCCAGAAGGTTCAGAAGGCCCAGGATGCCCCAGGAGGTTCCAGGAGGCCCCCAGGAGGCTCCGAGGCGGGGTCTGGGGCTCGATGTTGGAAGGATTTTTCAAGCGAAACCGCCATTCACTGAGAATCGGGGTCACACTTATTGAAATTACCATGTGTTTTTGAAGGTTTTATGTTAAAATGTTGAAATTCCCATGTGTTTTTGGACCCTGACGTCGCGATCTGCGTGAGGGGTGCCACCGATTTTCAGAATTTCGAGGATGTCCCGAGCGAAACGCCCAGCAACAATCGCGGACGCGTGCGCATTAATCGCCTCTGAGCTCTACTCCCTCGGAGAGGTGCGTATGAGAATATATATATATATATATATATATACCGTCACACATACACACACATCCAGTTCGACCAATAGCCATGCATACATGTATACTCATATACTTCTTCACTGACATGTCTGTAAACATACATTGCCGTCTATCTCTCTATGCAACTAGATGTCTGCATACAGCTACCGATCGATGTATGTATTTAATTGTGTATATTTATATTTATATATATGATGTCGGAGTGTTTGCCCCCCTGGCCTCCCCAGGTACTCAATGACAAATGGGGCCACCCCGCGCGGGCATAAACATTGCTTGGACAATTCCCCCTCCTCCCCTCCTCCATGTACATATCGTTGCTGCATCCTCGACGTCCGCGTGGCGAAAACGGGCACCGCCTCGAGCCGCATCGGCGATGCGGCGCGATCCTCCGACGCCGTCTACTCGGACCCAGGTCGAGAGGGCCTCTAGTGAAGGAGGAATCGGAGGAGTCGTCAGAGGAGGAGGGGGAAGGGATGGCAGGGGACTCGCAGGACGCGCTCCGCCGCGTGCGGTGCAGTCTGGAGATCGTGTTCGAGTCCTCCGAGCCCCTCGCTCTTGGCGACCCCACGTCCGGGCGGTGGGAGCAGGACTCGCCGCCACCCTCGAGCGGCGGCAAGTCTCAGGAGCCAAAGGGCAAGCGATTCGGTAGCAAATCTTGGAGGCCTCGTATGCCCCCGTAGTCCCGTGCTTCGCGTCGGCTAGCGTCTGGTAATCGATGGGATAGCGTCGATGTCGCACCCACTAGCGTCGATTAGTGTCGATTTAGCGTCGACTAGCGTCGATTGGCGTCGACCCGCAAGAGCCAATCAGATGGTACGGGAGGCTCCCATGACTTGCCACAGAAGTTTGAAGGGACAGGGGAACCGAACCGTAAATACATTTCGGCGGCGAACCCGGGAGGAATGCAGAGGAGGCGGATTGTTCCAGAAGTCTTGGATGGCCCCGGGCTTTCTGAGAAGTTGTCTGAGCCTTCTTCGAAGACAGACGGCTTCGCAGAAGGCTGGAGAGCTTTTGAGAAGCCCCGCCGTTCTCTGAGAAGGCCTGCCCCCTCTCACTTGCCCTCTGGGCACGCCGCCGAATATTGTGAGCCCATGCTAAGGAGCACCGCACGTTGTTCCCAGGTGCCCTGGGTTTCTTTGGTCTGAGCTCGGATTGAAGGCGTGCAGCGGTCGCGAAGAAACAGCAGCTGGCAGGGTACTCTCTGAGTTTCTTGGGCGCTGGGGCCTTCTTTTTAAGGGGGGAGCAGGAAACTGACGCGATGTTCAGGATTGTATTTCTGGCGATGGGTTTCTCGTGGACTGGTGTTGACTGTACCCTCTAGTCTGGGTGTTCTTTTTTTGATTGGCAGCATGACTTGCTGGCTGGCCGGTCGTTTGATTGGTTGGTCTACTGACCCGCGCAACCTGACCCCCCCCCCCCCGGCAACGGGGGATCATCGGCCTCGTCCCGCCCCCTTCTCTTCCTGGCCCTCTTTCGAGGAAGCGCAAGTGAAAGCACGACGAGCCCCGTTCCCTGCAGCATCGAAGCGTTCCGTCGCCTAAGCAGGCGGCACTGGCGCCGCGTTTCGGGGGGCATGCTCCTCGACCCGTGGACCTGCGCACGCGCGGCACGTCCACGGATCCTTGCTCTCTGTCGTCTGCTTCTGCTCCCGCCCTGCTCTTTTTTCGGAGGCCTAGAGGTTGACACCAACACCAATATCGGCGTTATGCCTCCACCGAGGGAAGAGCATCCCTATCTCAGTGATGGTGGTAATATTCTTGCTTCCTAGGTGGCCGAACGATTACCACCAACACCAAAATCTGGGATCAGCTTCCCCTGGTGGAGGCCCCCCCCTGTGTTGGTTTTGGTGTCAATTTCCAAACCTCCAAGTTTTCCATATGCAGTGGAGACCCATGCCAAGACACACCATGCTTGCCTCCAGGGTGCCCTGGGCCTCTTGGGCTCCGATGGCGTGGCTGTGGACAGCGTGACGCTCCCACACCACAGATCCATGGACGTCCTGGGGTCTCAGGGTCAGGTTTCTGGTGGAAGGTCTCTTGGTGTCGAGCTCCCCCTCAAGCCTTCCGAGAGGAGGCGGACGCTTCATAGTCGTCGTCGTCGTCGTCAGGTCGCCGTTTGTCCCTACCACCTTGCTGGCGACCAGGATGTTAGCCCCATTCGCAGTCCGATGTGCTCTCCCCAACATTGAATGGCGGCTTGGCCCCTGCTGAGGCCTGCGATGGATGTCGACAAGAGTGTGGCGCACCCTGTTGTACAACCCGCTTTCGGCGACGTCTGGCGGAGATTATTCAGTCTACCCCCAACTACGATTTGATAGGCTTTGGGTGGGTACAAATCTCTGACTATAGTATCCCGTCAGTTCGTGTTTCAGGAGTCCACAGCAGTTGGTTTCCGAGGTGCACGACCAGAGCACATAGCATCTGTGCGAGTACGAGTAATTTGTAAACTCAATGGGCTATGCTCGGCCACGTAACCCCGCGGTGGCAGCACATGATTTGGTCAATTCATTCGAAGCTCTCTGATTGACCACATCCTGTGCCCTGTGGCGCCTAGCGGACACGTCGTGAATGTAGGACCTTTTTTTTTCATCACTTGGGTAGACACTTGCAGCTATACCTAGCAGACGCCTTAGCGATCATGTCCTAGTAGCTTTGGAACGGCAGGATGGCCGTGACTACGGGTCCAGATCGGGCCTCCTTTCTCAAACTGAACGATGCGGTGGGGGCCGAAGTGGAGCGCTGGAGCCAGTACTGGTCCAATATTTACCCCGGCGTTTCCATGGAGGACATTCAGGATGTGCGAACAAGAAGTGGACGTAACCAGCTCAATCAATAACCACATCATTCGAAATACCATTGCGATGATGCAACTACGCGATTGTCTCTTGTACGTCCGCGGCGGGAACTTCGTGTGTCTCGGCAGTATGGGGCACGAGTGGAGGAGGCCGAGGAACATCTCACAGTTCTTCCCCGTCGGTTCGGAACTGTCCGTCGCGCTGCTCGAGTGGCTCGTGAGAAGCACGATGTAAAAACTCTAAATGAGGCAGGGCGGCATAATCGGGAGCATATTATTGGGCTCGGCACTTTGGGGGATCTCGCTGGGGCCCAACGCGCCGAGATCATCGAGCAGCCCAAGCAGGACAGCCGACTGGGCAGGAATGGGTGGAAGTGCGGAGACGACCAGGGGCACAAGGAGGTATGAAGTGTGAGGAGGTGTCGTCGTTCGTCGACTGGAGGCGCAAATCGAGCCGCGCGCGCGTAGCCTCGACCCCGCCTGCTGCCGCCGTCGGTGGGCGCTGCGCGGAGCGAGGCCGGCCCCGCCTGGGCGGCTCCGACGGGCCCGGGCCCGGCGCGCCGCCGCTGGAACAGCCTCGCGCCGTGCATGCGCGCAGCGGACAGGGTGGAGGGCGGGCGAAAAAAGGCGCGCCAGGGTGGCGCCCGCCTCGCGGGCGCGGCGCCTCTTCCAATATGGCAAATGCCTGCGAAGCGCACGCGTCGCGGGCCCGCGCCTGCGCAGCGAGGCCACGGTCGCGTCGCCCTGACGCGCAACAGTGGCCGACTTGCGCCCGCCCGCAACGGTGTGCCTCTACGTCTTCGAGCGCGCTGCACCGCTGTGCGCCTGCCGCAGGTCGAGCCGCGCGCGCAAGGCCTCGACGCCGCCTGTTGCCGCCGTCGGCGGGTGCACCGCGGGGCGAGGCTGGCCCCGCCTGGGCGGCTGAGACGGGCCTGGGCCCGACGCGCCGCCGCTTGGGCAGCCTCGCGCCACGCCTGCGCGCAGAACCCAATCCCGCGCGGCACGCAGGCGACGCGGGCCAGCAGCGCGCGCGCGTCCACTGTCGCGCGCGCGGGGGCAGAGCAAGGGCGCCGTCGCGCACGCGCGCCCGTGTGCAGGAGCGAACCGCGGCGGCGCTGGCCACCGGCGCCGAACAGGCACCCGCGTCAGAATCAGACTCGAGCGTGCGCGCCTGTCGCGCGCGAAGCGCCGCGGCGCGGGCGAAGGACGCGTGGCCCCGCCTCCACGGCGGCGCCCCTCTCCAGTTCATCGCGGTCGAGATTCGCCGTGATGGCGCAGGGCCGCCGCTCGCTGGCCGCGAGAATTTCGGCGAGCGTCGCGCCTGCCCCCCGGAAGTCTGCGGCGCGGCCCCCGCGGAGGTCACGCAACCGAAACAGACCCGCCCCCTCGGCACCACGGGCTGCGAGCATCTCGCGCAGGGCCCGCAGCGCGGCCGCCGCCGAGATGCCTTCAGAGAGCGCGCGACCCGGCTCGCGCCGCGCCAGTCGCGGGCCCGGGCGTGCGCGGGGCATTTGACGCGGCGCGATGCGAGCTGGCACTTCCGCGACAAGTGGCTACTCTGCGCCCAGTCTTTCCGCCGTCGCAGCAGCGGCGCGAGCCCAGCTGCGCCCGACGCGGGCGCCGCTTGAGTGGGCGTCGCGTCGCAGACGTCGGCCGCGCGCGTGGCTGGCAGCGCCTCGCAGGGCACGCGCGATCGAAACGCGTGGGCGAAGAAGAAAAGCATCGGGGCGCGGAGCAACTCGGGGCGGCGCGCGCCGAAGTCCACCAGCGCTGCGACTACGCACTGAATGGGAGGGGGCGCGGAGCCCAATCACCCCGCGCCTGGGCGGCGGCGCGCGCGCGCCTGGCCTCGGGGCCGTCGAACACTGCGACGCCGACCCCTGCCTCGAGACACCCGACTCTGACGTGGCCACAATTGCTCGCGCACGTCGCTCTGCGGCGAAAGAGAGCGCCCCAGGCGACCAGGTCCGCGCTGGCCGGCGGGAGCTGCGTGCGCGGGCATTCCAGCGCCCTGGCGCAGTAGGTTTTCCAACGCTTGAGGCCGCGACTGGCGCTTGGGAGCGACCGCGCGCGCTGCTGCAGCATGGCGCGAGCGAGTTCGACTTCTCGCCAACGGGCCGCGCTTGCGGGGCCGCGGAGGCGGGCGGCGGCGTCGGCGAGCGCCGCCCGAGGCCCGCGGGCCGCAGGCAGCGCGGCGCGATCGGCGCAGCCAGGCGGTCAAGGATGCTGGAATTTGCCATGCGCCTCGCATGCCCCGGCGCGCGGGGAATTTGCGAGCGCGCGGGGCCACGGGCGCGCTCCTGCGGTGGCTCGGGTAAACTCGGAGCGCCGCGCGCCGCGCGTGCCGCCGGCGACCGGCTGCCGGCGGGCGCGCGCCCTCCAGCTGCCGCGCCCGCGGATGCCAGCGCGCCTGCGGGGCGCGCGCGGTGGAGGGTGGGGCGGTGGAGCGCGCCCCGAACCTCCGCGCGCTGCCCTTCTTCAGCGCGCAGTCATCTTCGTGGCCTTGAATAATTCATGCAAGACGTCGACGTTCACCTGCGCGGTGATTGGCCACCCCTCAAGGTCTGCGGCCTCCGCGCATGCGAGTTCGCGAGCCCGCGCGAAGCCGTTCTCAGCCAAGAAGTCAGCAGCCCAGGGAACGGTCGTCCTGGGCGCTGTCAGGCGCAGAGAGCACAACTCAACGAAGAGTGAGATAGTTTAGTGCGTCGCCAGACGATGCGAGCGACGCGCCCGACGCGCTGGCCGCGCTCTCCCCGCTTGCGAAATGGCCTGAAAGTCCAGCGCGACAAGCGCGGCGGCGTTCCGAGCGCCTTGCCGCTGCGCGAGAATG